CCATCCACCAGGTAGCCCACATCAGCCGAGTACACTGAAGCTGGCAAGGGCGATCCTGCAACATGCATGTCTGGCTGCATGGTCTCAGGGTGGTTCAGGGCATTTCCAGCAGCATTCATCGGCGTCCCGTCGGGGAGATACCCAATTGAGTTGGTGAACTCTGCTCTGGGCAATGGAGAACCAGGAGTATGTGGATCAGGCATAATGATCTCCGGATGGTTGATGCAGTTGCCAGCCTTGTTCAAGGGCGTGCCATCCGGCAAGTAGCCCACATCGTTCAGGAATTCCAAGTCAGCATGGGTGTCTTTCTGCAGGGAGTATGGGAACTTGATGCCGTGCAAGGCCTTCCTGGTCACCTTTGAACGCTTGCCCCTTGCCAAGACTCCCGCAGCTGCAGTGGCCACCATAGCTGTGCCGTACATCGTGCTGTCTCCCATCGCCGGGGCTGTCGCAGCTGCCGTCGACTGCAAAGGAGCGGCTTCGGCGGTCACCTGGCCGTTGGTGCGTGCAGGGACCACAAAGCCATGACCGGCCTCGACGGCGAGGGCGAAGCTGAGCGCAGCGACCTTCGACATCACAGAAATGCGAGTGATCACTGAAGGGGAGAGCAAATCGCGCCGTTTGGGATGCGAACTTGAGCCATATATATATATGTGTGTGTGTGTGTGTCGAGATACCGTGTACAAATAGCGTGTTCCGCCTGCGCCCCATCTCTGGCTTCTCCAAGGCAATCTACAACAGCCGCTCCGACGACGGCCATCCACCAAGGCGGACCGCGACATGATCGGCTTTCAGCTTGCAGCAGTTCGGGTTCTCATGACGTACCGACTTTTACTCTGCTCCCAGACGACCCTCTCATGAGTTTTAGAAAGTTCTCCTTTTTCACGGGGAACTCCCCCCCCCCAAGAAAGGTGGCCGTTACCCCTGTGACATGCACCTTGATCTGTCTGGCAGAGACGAGCTCTGCAAAAACTCGTTTGGTGGGTCTTCTGGATTCTTTTGGTACTTCTTGGTGGGGGTCCGTTTCATTCCTTTCATCGCAACAACTTCGGCCGAACTCAACGTCAGAGCCAGGCAGCTCTTGGCCAAGCTTGCAGCTTCAAATGTGTCTTTCGCAAGCTGCGACTGTCACGTGGCGTAATCTGTGAGGTCAGAAAATCTCTCGAAGCGTCAAAAGCCCGGAGGATATCGGTAAAAATTTACTCCCTGAAATAATCATGGAAGTGGATGGCTTGGCCCCAAGCTAACTCGGATGACCATTTTCGAATACCAACCAGGTGGTGATCTCCACTTCCACATATGAATTCAAACAGGTACTGTAAGCACATCAAAGGACCCTCGCAGGGCCATTCGTGCTGATCAAAAGACCAACAGAATTTCTCAACCTAAAGGAATTTGAAACACTGCTTCGTACCCATCGGCTGCTTCGTACCCATGGGTATGGAGTCCAAACGGCGGGGACATGCGGGGACCGACCACCGATCGGTTCATAACAAAATAGACTGTCGTCGTAGGGAGTAGGGAGGGTCAACCTACCAGGGTTGGTTACGGGTTCGTGCCATCACCCACAGCCAAGTAAACCTAAACAAGCCGCTTGAGACATGAAGCCGCTTGTCACTGGTTTGTCCAGCATCGGATACCGATCCCTGGCCTCCTTCAACAAGCTGCTGATCCTTTCCTTCTCCCTCTCTTCCGCTTCCTTGGCCTTAGTCTGCAACCCGTAAAACAATATGTGTGACAGTCCTGAACACATTGATGGTAGGGAACATACTAATGTCTACCACTAGGTTGGACCATGATGGACCATGGCCCATGATTGTGTACAACTAATTGCTGATTGCTCTCCTTCTCTCTTTGTCACAATCATGTTTGAAGTACGTGCCCCGTCTGGTTGCTTGATCGTGCTTCTATCTGTAGGGACTTGTCAAGCCAAGCAGTCCAAGATCTTACGTCGGCCTCCTTCGGCCTCCTTCCTTGGCCTCCTCCCGGGTGTGCGGCCTCCCCCGCGGGTGCCGCTTGGAAAGCACCCCAGTGTCGTGTCAAAGCTACTCATGTGTACAAAACAGACTCTAGAACTGGCCCAAAAGCTTCCCCGACCTGATGCCAACCCCCGTTCCCCAACCTGCTGGCCAAGCATCTACACGCGCCTGCCCCAGCTGCTCCTGAAGATACCCCACTTCTGAGCTGCGGTGCTGGCGCTCCAGCTGAAGCTCCTGCCGGCGAAAAACGTGGCTCGAAACAGCCCCACGGCCTATGTTTGAAAGGGCCAGAGGGTGAAAAGAACATGTGTATATAATATAGTGTGTAGAGATATCTACGTACGCATATGAATTTACAGTATTGCAAATGCTCAAACATATCAACATATCATGTCTTTACAGTATAGTAGCCGTATAGTTCATATATACAGTATGTTTTGCGGATATCTGGGTATACGATGGTAAATGCTCAAATACATCCTCACACAGTGGTAGGGTTTATCCCGTGCGCCCAGAACCCAGTGGCTCAAAAATCGGGGATCAAACCGACGGCTCTGCAGGTCAGACACGCCCTAAGGGCATCTCTGAGGAGGAAATCATCACAAGGAACCTGGAGGAACCTATTTCTATAGTATTCTATAGGTTGTGGGAGTTGATAGTGGAGATAAACTGTGTCATTCAACAGTCAGTGATAGGTCAATTGTGGTTGGGTTGTTGGAGAACGCCTGGGGTAGCAGATGTATGCATATTCTTGTGGCGCCAGTTTACCAAGTGAAATTTTGAGCACCAAATTCTCCAGACTTGAGGTGACTCCTGGGTTTCTTACATTCCAAGGGATGAGTTTCACATCACCTCGCCCGAGAAAAGTGTGGATGGAACCGGATGGAACACTTCCAACTTCTGCAGGCTCCGCCCATCGATGTCGAACTCCGGAAGCGGCGGCCGGAGCCCGTGACCGTCCTGCCCAAGTCCTCGGTCGGATGGAGATGGGGAAGATGGGGGAAGAGAGCGAAGGTTTCCAGTGTTTTCATGTGTCCATCAAGAGCTTCGAGGTGGCTCGACAGGGCTCTTGGGGCAACAAACAGGCACGATTCTTGCAAGAAACCGCTCAGGGTTTTTGATGGGCTGTCACTGCTATGAGGGAAGCATTGCGAAATAACCCAGGACAAAATGTGTTGCTCCAAGTCTCTGCTACTCTCGCCTTCCATCTCCTTCTGTCGTTGCTCGGCTTCCTCTCTGAAGGCAGCAGCTGAGGTCGACATCTCCTTTTCAGCACACGGGTGTTGAATCTCACGATGAAGTTTAAAGTTTTAAGGCCAGGACCTCCCACACGCGAAACATGCGACGAAGGGGATCTGTAGCCTACAGGCAGATAGTTGGTGACCTTTTGATTTAACATGATTTAACGATTTAAAATTTGGTATCTTTGTGCCGGGAGCACAAGTTGGAGTCCAGACCAGCCCGGAGAATGCTACAGTAGTGGTCTTTTCCAAGAAGTGGAAGCCTTCGTCAACCTGACCACAATGCCCCGCATCGGGGCCTGTACAAGGTGGAAAGGGAACATGAGATGCAGATTGGCCCAAAACTGCTTGAAGAGGTCCATCGAAATTCTGATCCTTCAAAGGATCCAAGAAATGGATCTCCAACAAGTCCGAAAGAGAATCTGCATTAAAGCTGCAAAGCTGCCAACATGCGCTGGCAGCTCCTGTGCTCTGTGAAAAGACTGTCTTCCACAGCCAGCTAGACGCTGCACCGGCAAGCAATTTGGATGTTGCCCGCAAGCTGTGCCACATTGGAAGACAAATTTAAGTTGCAGCATGCAAACTCAACCACTTCCCCAATGCTGGGCAACTAGCATCTGAACTGTCTGTGGAAACATGGAAACATCATGGAAATGAGCAACGGATCAGCAAAGGATATTAATTTTTAAAAACAGCGGGAAATTCGAGAGGCCATCTTTGCAAGCCAGCTATATATATCCTGGCCGGCCCTAGGAATCACTCACAAGAAGGGTGCGGCTCGAGCAGTCGCAGGTTTCCTTGTGGCTGTGCACATTTGCATGGCTTTGAGGAAAGCCATGATCACCAGCAAAGCCACAACTCCAGCTCCAACCATCCTCGTGTTCTTCGAACGTTCCAGGAGAAAAAACAAAAGGATCGACCTGCCGGTCCCACCACCGGCTGTTCGAACGACGGTCAGGATCCATGGAGCCAGGTTCGGTGGCGTGAAACGACCACCGAACGGCGTTCCAAACCTCCCGGGTTCGGTGAAGGGAACCATTTGAAATACATTGGAAGGGTCTTGATGAATAAACACCCCCAATATGAAGAGGTTTTTCAATCCAAATGGGGGGAGTGTATGAATCAAGAGTCTACATTACATTGGAAGGGTATTGAAGAGAAATACATCATACACCGGAAATCGTCTCTCCCAGGCCTTTGGTTGCAAGGTCTCCTGTTGAAATACAAACACAAGGCCAAGAGAACGGACTCTCGGCAACCAAGGGGCCAGGACCAACGCGGCCCCATGGGAGGCATCAGCATGACACCCAGAAAAGTGACCACGCAGGTTGGAATCAAAGAGAACTTGCTGTAAGTCGTGGCGACAAAACCTCTCTCTCCATGGCCTTCAGCAATGTGAGCAACGATGAGGTTGGCAGCACTTCCGAGCAAAGTAAGGTTCCCTGAAACTGTCGCCACCCAAGCACAAACAGTCCTGGCTCAATAGCAAGTGACTTGAGCAACAAACATGCTGTGCAAAGGAGTATCTTCCCCCAGGTCCCAATAGTATATCATGGGTGTGTGTGTGTGTGGAGCAGGGTATACACTCATCGCGTTGTTAGTAAAGGGCATTAGTCTTCCCAATCTTCCCAACGGACCTTTTTCCTCTTCCATGTGATGTGTTTGTCAGAGTGTATATGACTTTAATCAGGGCCAACGGGTCCAAATCTGGGCAATAGATCCAGCAGGTTGAGTAGCAAGCAAAGGCTGCAACATGAGGATCACTGGCACATTGCTGATGACGTTGGACAGCAAGAGGACCACAGTGGCAAACCACAAGATACAGAATGGGCCATTAGCCACATTGGTCGCGCAAGGTCCTACACAGGGTGGCCAGCCATCCTATGCATGACCTTCCTCTATATTTCTGGGCGGTCGTCTATGTGGATTGGCTAGAGCCTGTCCTAAAATGTAGTGGAAGAGTCTTTGTGGGAGGCCGGTGTCCACCGTTGCGCCCACCAAGATGAACTGGCCCACGAACAAGATGAGGATGGAATAGTCGATGGCACCCAATCCGAACCTGGTGGGGTGCAAAAAAAAATGCGCGCATATCTGATATGTTGCCTCCACTTTAGATCATATATGATGTACCCCCGCTACCGAGCGAAATACCTGACAGGAGCATGTAAAACTAACCCTGGTCGCTTCAGCTCGGTAGATTCCAACTTGGAGGACTCAGACAGACTCACAACCCGTTACACGACCAGACTTGCCAAGTGAGCTCGAGCGGGCAGAGCGCGAGCACCACACGCGGTGTGGGAGTCGGCGGCTGGATTAGTTTTGGGGGTGCTTCCAAGTGTAAAGTGTAAGATCCCTCTGAACCAAGAGAAGTTCAGTGACCTTATAGGACCCTACTGGGGTACCTATGGGATAGTCTATAGGGTCCTTCAACCTCTCTTGGAAGGTGGTGTCTTAGCCCTGGAGCCACGTCTTCACCTACGTTCGACCGAGAGCCGCGAGCCGAAGAGTTGGCGGAAAAGGAAAGGTTCACCGAACGTTCGATGTGTTCAGATTGAGTGGGGAAACATGGGGCTCCCCCAATCCCCAGAAAAGGTTTTGCAGATGGTGAGCCCCTGACTGCGTGGGACCTGCTTCAGCTTCAGAACAAACGATTCGTCGGACGTACACTTCCCAAATTTTATATACCTGGACCTTCAAGGGGTGTCCAATGGAGGTCCCTTAGTAGTGTAGGGGCTTCCATTGGTGACCCCTTTGAAGGTGCTGGTAGATCATATTTTGATCATAATGGATCTCCGCCACACCCAGTGGATTGACAGGTCCATATGGCCTGCACGTAGACTCATTATGGCACTGGGTCTTGAGTGGTAAAGCATAGGCAATCCTTGGGTTCCAGCCACATCCTGCTGGGCCCCCTGCTGGATGTGTCAGACATGCATCCTGGAAAGGAAAAGAACGTCGTCTGAGTAAATTCCTGGAGCCTTATCAAGGAAACCACGGGACGGTTAAATATGAAGGCAATCGAGAAGTGGAGCCAGGCAACCCGAAAGGCAGACCAAAGCAAACAAGCGAGAAGATAAGTTTGGTATTCCAAGCCCAAAGAGCTAGGAGATGGGGGAGAAACTTGACCATCAAGAGATGGCTCCCCCAAAAAAAAGTTCGACATCACCTTGAGCTGCCTTCTTTTCAGCACCATCTTCCTACTCATCCAATGTCTCGGCCTATCCCCCATCCAAGACCCTTTGGTACCAAAGGGGCTGCGTCTCGGTTTCCTCTTCACCCTCTTCCTCGCGGTCTCCGCATCGCGGGGCCAGGCGTCGGCGCAGCGCGCGCAGGAACATCAGCGTGGCGCCCGCCGCGAGCGCCACGTCATCGGTGCTCATGTCCAGCATCCAGCCAGCGATCATCGCCAAGACCTCTGGGGACGTGAGGCACCACAGATGGGACAAGCGAAAGGTGATAGGTCCTAGGTCTTAGACGATCAAGCTAAGCAGTGAAGCAGCAACAGCCAGCTGCCCTATTGAAATGATTGGATGAGTTTGGCCAGAAAAGGGATTTGCCAATCTAGGATTCTGGTCAGTTCTGAGAGGGGGATAGCAAGCAACTTAGCAAGCATACTAGGACCTGACAAGTGCGACATGTGCAGATCCTATGCATGAGATTTATATAGTTTGGCATGTGGCAAATGCTGCCTATGGAGGTAATCTAGGCAAATATTGGAGCACATGATTCTTGTCAGGACACCTTGACTCAACTTGACCGTCGCCTTCAATGCCGTTGGGAAGCAAACTAAAGCAAACGATATCAGCCATTCTGGCAAGAAACTGTGGGGAAGAGTTTTGTCATTTCCCTAGGGACCCAACTGGCATCCTCAAGAGTCTCACCATCTCAAATCGACAAGGGAGTCCAATTTAAAGGGAAGGGACCACAAGAGCCACAGCCAAGAAGTACATCATCCGGTAGCAAAGGTCTTTGCGAGGCAGCTGCGAGGCAGCTCCGCTCGGCGTTCCAATCGGTTGCTCCACATCTGCACTCTCCTGTCAGAAGCTGCACGAGAGGTCGGACCCAAACGCGAAACCCAAAAATGACCAGCGGAGGCTTTCAGGTCCATTCCCCGAATATGGGCTTGTCTTCTGACAGGACCTTGCAAACAATGGGCTTTTGCTCGGTCTATGTCCCTTCTTCCAGGAGGTCGTTGCCTGGGAGGTTTCCCTATTTCAATGCGCACCCACATGCATTGGGAGAATCAGCGCCTGTCACCTTGCATTCGGAGAAGTGTGCAACCAGTGCCACCCAGACCAACTATCAAGACCTCGGTCGCAGGATTTCGGGGGCACCTTCCAACGGGGGCCACGGTCGCCTTCAACAGGCCTTCTACCGGGACACCCCGTCCACACACCAGATTCAGCGGGCCTCCTGATGAAAGACCAAGGATTTTCGGAAGTAGAGCCACAGAGCGGCAGTGTTCAGAAGAAGTCCCAACAGCACCGGCAGGAGCATGTCCCTCATGAAGGTCAAGAAGCCCATGTCCGGGCTGATGGATGCCTTTGTCAGCTGGCGTTGCCAAGAACGGGAGGGCGCAAAGCGACTGCCCCGAAGAAGCTGGGACTCCAAGTTGGGTTCTGAATCTCGTGAGGCTCTGCAGGTGGGAACCGATGCGGGATGAACGCCTCTTTGTTTACCCCACCATCCGGTGGGAACATGTCCAACCATCCATGTGGAGATTCTGCAGGTGGGAACCGATGCAATCTATGGGCGGCAAATCTCCCAGATTCCGCGTGGCCCCGGATCTGCGTGGTCGATGCGTTTCTCCGATGTCCGACCTGTCCGACCTGTCCGACCTGTCCGACCTGTCCCAGGCGCGATGAGAGCATTTTGCGGATTCCCGATGATGGTGAGGCTGCTGCCAATGTTCGAGCTGGTCGCCACGGCCATCAGAAAAGGCAAGGTACTTTGGGCGCCTCTTTGTCTGCACAGGTTCCTCGGTGTTTGATCGGTCGCCGAGTCGGACGGCCAAATCACCT